TCAGCTGGCGACAAGAAAACTATTACACACATATTACAAACACTGTGTTATTTTAACATTTGCATGAATGCTCAGACATTCATAAAGCTATTTTTTTCTATAACTAGACCCCAAAGCTTAAAACAATTTATTATTTTGATCCTTTTTTTTATTTTTGAGAATTTCTGAAAAAGTTAGAACCTCTTTCTGGACTGTCTCATACTTTATAAATTACTCACGGTGCCACTCTGAGCACCTATGTATCTGTTGGGAAGTTTCCCTTACTTCCTGGTCACAAGGATAGGAAATGAAAAACACTTAGGGGTACAGTCTCAAGTAAAAAATGTGACAGATGTTATAACCCTTTCCTATAATTTCTAAAATTAAAAAAAGAGAGTTTAGAATATAGTTCCACCTAATTAACTGTTAACAATCTGGTTTAAATGTATTTGAAATAAATCTGTATATACTTATATGTTGTACATTTTTAAAACTCTTAGTGTACCTGGACATCGATAAAAGGAATCCATTTCATCCATCTTTTCTCTGGGAATAAGCCATATCTTTTGCAGCTTGTAAAGGAAAGTTCTCAGCAGGCTGATGTGAATGTTGATATACACTATAATAAACTGTGCAGGTTAAATGTGCACCATAACAGCGATAATATGAGTCAGAGTGTATGAATGTGGTCAATTATGTACTAAATCAGCTACAACACAATGAACTCATGACAATAAATCTGTTAATCTGTATTAAACTGAAAGCTCTGTATGCTATAGCAAACAATAAAATATACACTACACACATTAAATTATAACATTTATTAACTCTTTATATTTGGTAACATAAAACATTCAATGAAAGGTTTTCTTTCATTTTAAATCAGAAATCCAGCCAAAAATAACAAGATAAAACTGAATACGACATTAAAAAAATAACCGGCTTTTGGTGCAAAATTTACCTTCAATCCAGACTATCCCACAGTACTTTTTTTTCTGCCACTAGATATCCATTGGTTTGATGTCCAGTGCCTTCCACCCCCTTCCTTCTGTTGCTACTTCCTTTTACACTCCAGCTCTGCTATACAGGGACTCTTAGGCAAGCCATAAATTATGTGATTTGATTTCCTGCAATCATGGGTTGCAGGAAAGAAAATCGCTTGATTCCCCTATCAACACAGTTAGTGTTGATGGGAGAATGCCTTCCACAGAGCTATTGTGCTCTGCCACTTAAAAAAAAATTGCATAAAAAGAAAAAAAAATCTGACAGGCCGGTTGTACTGAAGTTGATCAATGGATCCGTTAGCATTTTAATCCATCTGTCACATAACCTCCCTGGCGGTATGATTATTTCAGATTTTTGGTGCTGAAAGCGGTACCATTATTTTGCATGAAAATATGTAGTTTTTTATTGTAGGCTGTAATATTTAGGAATAGCTCACTGAAATCTGCCCGAACAAGAGTCTATTAAACATCCCGGGTATGATAAAATTTGAAACACAAAATCATAAATTATAATTTAATAAATAATCATAAAAAATAATAATATAATAATAATACATTTAATTCAATAATATAATCAAACCAAAAACACTGAAATTTGAAATATAGCGCCAAGTTCGCATATCACTGAGGAAAGTCGCAAAATTGTTTTCAGTGTCTGATGACGAATTTCTCCACGAATCATTATCACTCAATTCTGCAAGTGGTTCTGATTTACTATCGCTGTTCTCTAGCTGATCTAAACCCGCTTTTGACCTAAAGGGACGCTTTTTGGACGCCATGGACTTTTCTAAGTTTCCAGGCAGAAAGAACAGTCAAAATGCAGGCAGGGCACAGGACAAAGCACTAGGGACAAAATGTATGTGAAATGGTTTGTAACAGCAATGTTTTACTATGTAAAATTGTTTTGAAAAAAATGACTTTTTTTTAAATTTTCAAATTTCCCGCCGCCGGCAGCGGCGCCCGTACGTCCTGACGTCACAAGGACCAGAACACAGAAGCCAGATGCCAGCATCGGCCGGAGGAGATGGCCGGGGACGCTGCAGGGGACACATCGCGGGAGTGAAGGACAAGGTAAGCTCTGCAGGGACTCCCTATGCAGCGCCGCATGGTAAGCCCGAGTGTAGCTCGGGGTTACCGCTTTTGGTACAGAAACTTTCCCCCGAGCTACACTCGGGAATACCGCTAGGGAGGTTAACTTGTTGCCTCTGCTAGTAGATATGTTATTTTCCTCTTCCTTTAACCACTTGCCCTTCAGAGGATTTACCCCCCTTCCTGACCAGGCAATTTTTTGCGATACAACACTGCGTTGCTTTAACTGACAATAGCGCGGTCATGCAACCCAAATTAAATTTACGTCCTTTTTTTCCCCCACATTTAGAGTTTTCTTTTGGTGGTATTTGATCACCTGTGTGGTTTTTCTTTGCGCTATAAACAAAAAAAGACTGGCAATTTTGAGAAAAAAAACAATATATTTGACTTTTTGCTATTAAACATTTCCAGTAAAAAATGTAAAAAAATCTAATTTCACCATAAATTTAGGCCAAAATGTATTCTGCTACATGTCTTTGTTAAAAAAAAAGTCCCAATACGTGTAAATTAATTGGTTTACGTGAAAGTTATAGCATTTACAAATGGCGGTATAGATACTGGAATTTGTTTTTTTTTACTAGTAATGGCAGCGATCAGCGACTTCTAGTGGGACTGTGGAACTGCAGCGGTCATGCTGACACTGGGGGGAACTGACTTGGTGTCACTGACATCCCTAGTAACACATATACAGTGATCAGTGCTAATAAAAAGCACTGAAATTGTACTAATGGCACTGGGCAGGAAGGGGTTAACATGTGGGGTGATCAAAGGGTTAACTGTGTGCTGTTTTACTATGAGGCTGTGTTTCACTGTAAGCACACTGCTTTTTATGGCACTGCATTGCAGAGTTACAAAGCAATGTGCAGGAGCTAACAGGGGAGAGATCTCTGTTGTTTATACAAAGGTCTCTCCCCCATCGGAGATACTCAACGATCATTGGGTGCCGGCAAGAAATCACCGACTGGGACCCGGAGATTGACAGCTGAGGCCACGAATGTCCACAAATGTCACGCACCCCCTACTCAGAACTGCAAAATCACACATACATACATATATATATATATATATATATATACACACACACATACACATATACTACATATACACACATACACGTGATTTTGTGCACCTAGTCCGCCCTGTATTTCTGCTACAGGGCGGCATGGAAGGGGTTAATAGGATGACAATGCTGTTTGTTCTGCAGTAAAATTCTACTGTGGCTCTATCAACTGAGCATTCTTAGGCTCCATGTACACGGGACGTTTGGAAAACACTTCTGAATGATGGAAACTGACTGCTGGAAAACATAGGTTAAAAAACATCTGTTTTGCCGAGTTTGCATACCACATTTATGAGCGTTTGCGTTTAGAAGCGTTTTTTAAAGATAACCTCAGGAAACCTTCCAAAATGCCCAGAATGCACTGAAAAACAGTAAAAAATTAACTATTTCAGACATTTTGAAAGAAATAGAGAGAGCAGAAGCAGAGAGCAGTACTTGTTGAGAATAGCTGTCTTTTTTTTGTGGTGTTTGGATGTGTTCCAGCTCATTTCTGTGCAGAAATTTTCGCAGCAGTGTCTAACATATTTTTTTTTCATGCGAAAGCTCAAAGTATGGTGTACCAGGTCAATTTGAGTACCGGGAAAACGCTTTGCATGCATTTTTCATGATGAAAAAAAGTTCTGGACAGCATCTGGAAATGGAAGAGTTAAAAACATTTTCCAAATGCAGTTAGCCACGTTTACAAGCGTTTGAAACGCTGATAACATCTACTCCTGAATGCAAGTTTCTTGCATTAAAAAAAAATGACTGTAAACTCAACTGCCTGTAAACGACTGTAAAAGACGATGTGTACGTGGACACATAGGAAAACATTAGGGAGAGTTCAGGGGCTGCTGAAAAAAAAAAAAATGCAGAAAAGCTCCTAAATGTGAGTTTATCAGCTGCAGTGTACATGGAGCCTTAGGTGTACATACAGTTTCAAAGAGATTTTAATTGAGACTTAAACTCCATTCAAACTTGTGCAACTTGTCCTGCGACTGTCAAAGTCGCATGACAAGTTGTACCTCATGTTTTTCAATGATAAGCATTCATATATATGCAACTTAAAGTAACAGTGACTTCAATGTAGTTCACTACTTTGGCATGAATTTCATGCAACTTGAGATTCATAGACTTCTATGTTATCCTTCAAAAGATGCATGAAAGTCATACCTGAATGTTTGACATGTAACAGTGGTACAACAGTAGGTCCAACTTTGCAACTGGACAAAAAGTTACATCCAAGTTGCACCCATCCAAAGTTGCACCAAAGTTTCACTCCAAAGTCTTGCGACTTTGGAGTCTTACAAGTGTGAATGGGGCTTTAAATTGGAACTAAACCCATCGATTTAACAGTTACTCAAAACAGTTACATTCAAGGCATGCATTTAATTATAACTGTTACAGTAAATAGTGTGCTTATGTTTGCTCTCAAGCAGAGGCTAAGATGGCAGCTTCCTTGGCTGTAAAAGATAGGAGGGCCAAATTCTGGTTTAAAGAAAGTAAAGTCTATCACTTTTTTTAATAGTTGCTGTGTTAATGCTATTGACAGACTGCATTATACTGTATATGTCATTTTTGATATTGCCCATTTTTACTTCAATAGTTTTGCCCTGGCAGGAAATTCATGATTGGCATCTATATGTGTAAATAAAATAAATACCCATATATATTAAAAGGATACAATAGGCATGCTATCATACAAAATTTGAGGAAAAGATTCACTAATCACATGTTTTTCACGGTCCCACCTTGCTCCTTCCATGTAGAAGCCATTAATATATGTGCCATCAGACTGCAATAAAAAGAAGCATGAAAATATAGTAAAACACTACAATAAAACTAGCAGATAGGATAATTAACATTTTTTTAAATTGGGAAAATATTACCGGTGATGAGTCAATTTCATTCGCATGATCATAATCTGTTATCTGAAACTGAAGGCCTAGTAAGTCTATAGGAATCTTGTATTTTCTGGCATGGTTTTGCAGTGCGCCAGTCAGAAAAGACTGTGTAAAGTAAAAGCCAGAGATCCAGAAAACGTTTGGTGTTCCTCTCTCAATCCATTCCTAAGAAGACAAAATAAATAGAATCTCACAATTTGACAATAATAAACTTCAAGGGCTGAGTCCTACATAGCCGTTCTCAGTCTGGATTTGCCTTGGGAGTTACCATTTATCTTTAATCTGTGAGTTCAGAGGACCTTAGCTTGACAAATAAAACACCCAACCAAGATAATCAAGGTTGTGTCAGAATGCATCCATGAACTTAGAAAGGGTAAGTATCTGCCAGGATATAAGCCAATGGTAAGAACCTTTACCCTAGGTTCACATCTATGCGTTTTCTGCAGCGTTTTGCAGAAACCCAGTACAGTCCACTTAACATGATTTCCTATGGGACAGGTTCACATCTGCATGTTTTCGCCTGGTGCACTTTTTGGAAAGGGTAAGGGACTTTTTTGAATGCCAAACGTTGCATTTTTGGTTCTATAGACTTCAATGGGAACGCTGCAGAAAAGCATGTATTGTGTTTTTGCTGCGTTTTGCATTTAAAATTTAAACTCCTCCCCCGCAAAACATATCAAAAACACGTCAAAAACACAATGCAAAATGCAATGCAGTAACACCTCAAACGCAACCTGCATAGGTGTGAACCTGGACTTAGGGAGTGCCAAGTGTCTACCCAAACCAAAGAAATTTGTCAAAGGGAAAACAATGGTTTTGGTCATTTTTTTGAAAGTTTAAAAGTTATTAAAATACTTTTTGTAATTGAATTTGTATAACATTCCTTTTCAACAAATTACTATTTAATAGAGGGTGCTACCTTGCTTAATACAAGGTGCTATTTGTGTAGTACATGCTGGGCTGTATAGCAAGAAAGCCTAGCACTAACACTGCACCTGCAAACTGATGACATAGACTTCACTAATTTTATTTTAAGATGAGAAGGAGGACAAGTCATGCAGTTCACTCATTCAGATGTGCGTGTAACCTTTGATTCAGTTTTTCAATACAAATTTTAAATAAATAGGGATACCAGTATGTTTAGTAATAATCTGTACAAATTAAGCTAGTTAATGGGTACCTAAAGAAGACAAAACTTTTTTGTTTTCGAGAAAGGGAGAAGAGTTCTCAATCTTGTCAAGTTTTATTGCTGTCTGTGGCCCATTCTAGAAAAAGTCACTCTCTCTATGTGTACACGTGAGAAAAGAGAAAAAAAGCAGCACATACAGCACGCTGCAAAAAATGATGGGTGTGACCAGAGTTCCAGTGGGAGGGTCCTAAAGAGGCATAGTTACAAAAATCTGAGCCTGCTCACTGTATAGACAGCACCCTTATACCACAATCCTTGTAACGCAAACAGAATCTGGAGCAGCGGTGCATAGTAACCAATCAGCTTGTTCAATTAAGCTTTGACAATAAAATGTAGAAACTGATTGGTTACTTTGCACAGCTGCACCAGATTATGTGTGCTCCAGATTTAGTACATCTACCCCAAAATATTCTTTAGTTAATTTGCCACAAATGAGAATCTAATAGACATATACAGAGCATAGCACAAATATGTTAAAAAAGCATTATATATGCTTTTGCACACACAGCATATTTTAAACAGAACTTTATTAGTATATAATACACTTACAGGGCAGTTGTCAAGAGAATGTCATATAAAATCCAGTGTACAGAGTTCAGGAATATGAAATGTACAATATTGGGCTCAATTCTGCTTTAAGATCAGAAATAAAATAGCTCATGAAGTTCAAACATTTTTTTGCAATTCACAAAAAAAAAAACTACTAAAATAAGGCATGTGTTATTTCATCAAAATGTGTGGTATTTATCTCATGCAATGTCATTCAGTGGGATGGATACAGTGGAGAAGGATTAGAACACCTGTCAGCTTTTATTGCTGTTTGTGCCCCCATTAGGGAGATTTACAGTGCATCCAGAAAGTATTCACAGCGCTTAACTTTTGAAACATTATGTTACTTTATTCCAAAATGGATTAAATTCATTTTTTTCCTCAATATTCTACAAACAATACCCCATATGAGGTTAGGCACTTATGTCGGACAAAAAGGCCTGGCTCGCAGTCTCCACTCTAATTCATCCCAAAGGTGTTCTGTCGGGTTGAGGTCAGGACTCTGTGCAGGCCAGTCAAGTTCCTCCACCCCAAACTCGCTCATCCACGTCTTTATGGACCTTGCTTTGTGCACTGGTGTGCATTCATGTTGGAATAGGAAGGGGCCATCCCCAAACTGTTCCCACAAAGTTGGGAGCATGAAAGTATCCAAAATGTCTTGGTATGCTGACACCTTAAGAGTTCCCTTCACTGGAACTAAGGGGCCAAGCCCAACCCCTGAAAAACAACCCCACACCGTAATCCCCCCTCCACCAAACTTTACACTTGGCACAATGCAGTCTGGCAAGTACCATTCTCCTGGCAACCGCTAAACCCAGATACGTTCATCAGATTGGCAGACAGAGAAGCATGATTCGTCACTCCAGACAACATGTCTCCACTGCTCTAGAGTCCAGTGGTGGTGTGCTTTACACCACTGAATCCGACGCTTTGCATTGCACTTGATGATATATGGCTTGGATGCAGCTGCTCGGCCATGGATACCCATTCCATTAGGCTCTCTACTCACTGTTGTTCTAATCTGAAGGCAGCACAATGTTTGGATTTCTTTAGCTATTGAATGTGCAGACAGTTGGCAACTTCTGCGCACTGTGCGCTTCAGCATGCGTTGACCCTACTTTGTCATTTTATGTGGCCTACCACTTTGTGGCTGAGTTGCTGTTGTTCCCAGTTGTTTCCACTTTGTTATAATACCACTAACAGTTGACTGTGGAATATTTAGCAGCAAGGAAATTTCATGGATGGACTTATTGCACAGGTGGCAACCTATCATGGTACCATGCTTGAATTCACTGAGCTCCTGAGAGCGACCCATTCTTTCACAAATGTTTGTAGAAGCAGTCTGCATGCCTAAGTGCTTGCTTTTATACACCTATGACCATGGAGTTGATTTGAACACCTGAATCCAATGATTTGGAGGGGTGTCCCAATACTTTTAGCAATATAGTGTATAATATACGGTGAAAGAAATACGTATTTGTTCCCCTGCTGATTTTGAATGTTTTCCCACCCACAAAGAAATGATCAGTCTAAAAATCAAATGGTAGGTGTATTGTGACACTGAGAGACAGAATAGCAACAAAAAAATTCAAAAGAAATGCATGTCTAACAAATTATGCACTGCATGTTCAGGAGGGAAATACTGTTCAAAAAATTCAAAGAACACTTTTTAATCAGAGTATAGCTTCAAGTCAATTAAACTCCTGGAATATTGATCTGGTCAGCTAAGTAGCAGAGGGGATTGTTAGTCAGTTTCAGCTGATTTGGTGATAATGAAAATAACAACAGGTGCACTAGATGGGTAACAATGAGACAACTCCCAAAACAGGAATGGTTTTACAGGTGGAGGCCACTGACATTTTTTCCCTAGTCATCTTTTCTGACTGTTTTTCACTATTTATGCATTTGGCTATGGTCAGTGTCACTACTGGTAGCAAGAGGCAATACCTGGACCCTACAGAGGTTGCACAGGCATGCAACTCATCCAGGATGGCACATCAATACATGCAATTGCCAGAAGGTTTGCTGTGTCTCCCAGCACAGTCTCAAAAGCATAGAGGAGATTCCAGGAGACAGGCAGTTACTCTAAGAGAGCTTGATAGGGCCGTAGAAGGTCCTTAACCCATCAGCAGGACCGGTATCTGCTCCTTTGTGCAAGGAATGTCTCTGAACAGGATGAGCACTGCCAGAGTCCTGGCTCACTGCCCGGCACCATAGAGCTTGATTGGCATTTGGCATTGAACACCAGAATTGTCAGGTCCGCCACTGGCGCCTTGTGGTTTTCACAGATGATAGCAGGTTCTCCCTGAGCTCATGTGACAGACGTGAAAGGGTCTGGAGAAGCCATGGAGAACGTTATGCTGCCTGTAACATCGCTCGGCATGACCGTTTTGGTGGTGGGTCAGTGATGGTCTGGGAAAGCATATCCATGGAGGGATACACAGACAATGGTACCCTGACTGCCATTAGGTATCGGGATGAAATCCTTGGACCCATTGTCAGACCCTATGCTGGTGCAGTGGGTCCTGGGTTCCTCCTAGTGCACGACAATGCTCGGCCTCATGTGGCAAAAGTATGGAGGCAGTTTTTGGAGAATAAAGGAATTGATACCATTGAATGGCCCCCAGATGCGCCTGACTTAAATCCAATAGAACACCTCTGGGATATCATGTCTCGGTCCATCCGACACCACCAAATTACACCTCAGACTGTCCAGGAGCTCAGTGATGCCCTGGTCTAGATCTGGGAGGAATACCCCAGAACACCATCCGTCGTCTCATTAGGAGCATGCCCTGATATTGTCAGACATGCATACAGGCACTTGAGGGGCCATACAAACTACTGAGTACCATTTTCAGCTGCTGCAATGAAGTTTCAGCATTTCACTGTGATTTTTGGGGTGTGTTTGAATTCAGTCCTCTGTAGTTTGATAATTTTAATTTCCTTCAAAACGATGGGGCATCCTTAAGTTCCTAACACATTACTCAGTCCATATCAGTATAGATATCCAGCATGATATTTTTCCCCATTGAGATTTTATTTGTTTTCATAGTGTACCTTTAATTAAATATATATATATAAAACCTACAATCATATAAATCTTACAATAAAATTAGGAACAAATAATAAGGCAAAATAACCAAAATAACAAATAATAATAATAATCTGTTTTCCCTAACAAACTGCAAATTATATGTAATGCAAATTTTACAGCTTTTGTAACTTGTATATTTTTCTTCTTGATTTAGCTTGGTTTCAGGAACAAAACTATTGGAATGATTAAAATTAAATCTCAGTCCAAAAGATTACAGATATTAATTGTTAATTATACTGAGGTCAGTCACACCAGAAAAAAAAAAAAAACCCTGTGAGCACCCTGAGCAAATTCTATGCCAGGATAGCATCAGTTAACACTGAATTTCCAGGCAGCATCTGGCTCCACAAAGCTCATGGAAGGTAGGCATAGCACAGTTTGAAGAAGGATTTAGATGACTCACACCACAGTAAACTTGTAATTTACTTCTGCTCCTGAGAAGATTGTAGCTTTCTGTCACCCACCATCCCTTGGCAGCGTTCTATAGAAGGGCTTGATGTGTAAACACTGTATTAAATTATTGCCCAGACAACTCAGATATCCTAAACCAAATAATGTCTCACTACCGTAAAGCTAAGAGCAAACATTTCCCATTGCAGGAATATTATGAAGCATACATCTTCCAAAATGAGGGTGTTTTCAGCTGTTGCTACAGAGATTTTTAATTCACAAGGAAAGGTTTATACGCTAGAGATTACAAAGCTGCTTCACTTTTCATAAAATTTAGATCTTTTTAAGAGTTTCTATCAGAACGTTTTTTTGTTTATGTACATATAAGTACTTCTGCAGCAAAGACACTTTACTTTTCATTTCAAAAAATATTTTTTTGTGGTTCAGATGACATTCTTTGGCCTTGCAGTTTCTGCTAAGATCTCACCTTAAAAAAGCTCAGTCTTTGTAAAAGATCTGCTATGTAGCCACCTAAAGGCTTCAAGGAAGGATATGATCTAGCTGACCACACAGTAGGAACCTACAAGCAAAAGAAAAAAAAATTAGATTTTTTGAAATGACCATAACACACATTTCACAGCACTGGAAATCTTTGAACTATAGAAAGACTATTTTTCGAATTCAAAAGGTAAATCATCTTGAAATGTCTTCTATCTGGGACTAAATGAATCCCCAAATGTCCCTTGCACTTTGTAAAGAATATAGCAATTAAGGTAGAGCTCAGCTCAAAAAGTAAAGATTTATAATGTTATAGGGAACATCTAGAAATATTAATTATGCCTAATCCTTGCCCTGGAAATGTATATTTTGTCTTGAGTTATTCAAGAAGTGAGGTCACTCCTGTGCTGCTCACATTTATCCTTGCTGGTATATGAAATCCTGCAGAGCCAAGATCTTCATGCTTCTGATCCATTCATTCTGTAAATGTGGGATTCATCCACCTCTTTTACTGTTTCTTGAGTATTTACCCACCAATCATCAGCTCACCTGTCATCAATGCACCAGTTACTCAGTTGGGATGACCACCCGTTGAATAAAGACACAGTGGGGGTTATATACTAAAAACTAGAACGTGCAAAATATGGTGCATAAAAATCAATCAGCTTCCAGGTTTTATTGCTTAAGCTTAATTGAACAAGCTGAATTTAGAAGCTGATTGGCCACCATGAACAGCTGCAGCAGATTCTAAGTGCACCCATTTTTAGTAAATTCACCCCAGTGTGGAACAAGGAATGGCAAGTCAGCAATGGGGAAAAGACTGGCTACAGAAAACCTACAGGCAGTACTTTTTACTAGTCCCGTCCCTTGCCCTCCACGTGCCTTTTGAAGCACAGTTCAGGACCTTGTTAGGGGCCCATTTACACCAATATATGCATATTTACCCATGTTTTTTCATGCATTTGATGCACATTTTATGCTCATTTACATGCAGTTGATGCATGTTTTTCCAACCGCATTTGTCCAATGAGCTGACTCCCTTCTTCTTTCTTTCGGCAAGTGGACTGTAATGCATTGTTGCACGTTTGCGGTGTGGAAAATGAAGAATACTGTACTTTTTTCACTGCATTGCACTGTAATGGTGTGAACTATACCCATAGGATAACCTGGATTTTGGACTGTCTATGCAGTTGGTATTCAGTAAAAAAAAATGCATCCAATTGCATCTGGTATGAATGGCCCCAAATAATTTTGGGCCGGTTCACGCCATGCCCACACATGAATCACATAGGAATGTGCTGTGCATTCCTGTGTGATTCAAACAGTATGCAAAACGCACTCCCACTGTGATCTGCAATGGGTGTGAATACAAACGTAATAATGTCTCAAATACAGGTCGCAAACGAAGTGCGTTTACCTGCATTTGCCCACACCAGATGGCATGGTACTTTTGTACCAAGCAATCTGGTTGCAGTGTGTTTTAAAAAGTAGTGAATGCACTACTTTTGGCGTGGTGCAATTTCAAAATGAATGGGCTGAAATCGCACCACACAGAACCGCATATGAATTGCACAGGAATGCGCAGAGCGTTCCAGTGCAATTCATGTGCAGTATGATGTAATACGGCCCTTAATACTGAATTGGAACCATGCAGTGCATTCACATGTCTGCAAAAACATCTTATAGATTATTATAGGATACCTTATATATGATATTATAAGCTAACAGAATGTAAAAATCTAGGAGTAATGGGGTTAATGTATATAGGGAGCATATTATTCACTTACCTAAGTGAAGTTGTGTTCAGTCATCCAATCCTGTTCAAAGGAAATCCTTATTTTGTTGTTCATTTCTCTTACATGGTCGGTTGTTCAAAGAGAACAAAGGTTCACTTACTTAAGCAAAAATTATACTCTGAGAGAAAATCACCCTCAATGACTATGCAGCTACTGGTTAAGTTTCTAGATAAATCATATATATAAAGTGCAGCGCTGTGATATATATCAACGAATAAAAGTTCATGTAATCTTCATAAACAAATGAGGAATATGGAGTGAAAATCTTCCTTATGCAAAATAGGTGACTGGAACCATATAGAAGAAATGCGCACTCACTGACCGTGCATTAAAAATGCGCATGTATATATGCAAAATAGGTGACTGGAACCCTATAGAAAGAAACCAGCAATCCAGGTAACACTGTTCAACAGGTAAAAAGTTTTGGGCATAAAATTAGCTAATCTTACATAATTTTGGGGTGCTGAAAACGAAAATGACCCTAAAAAATGTTGATTGGCTCTAGTTTCCATGATATATTCACCCATCTAATGACGTAAGCCATTCAAAATTATGATGCAACTTCAGCTGCATATTGCGCAATTGATACTGGTGACCAATAGAAAATTGTACAGTCATGGCCGAAATTGTTGGCACCCTTGATATTTTTCCTGAAAATCAAGTATTTCACACAAAAAAAGGTATTGCATTAACACATGTTTTGCTATACACATGTTTATTCCCTTTGTATGTATTGGAACAAATATAAAACAGAGGCAGAAAAGCAAATATGACATAATGTCACACAAAACCCCAAAAATGGGCTGGACAAAAGTATTGGCACCCTTAACTTAATATTTGGTTGCACACCCTTTGGAAAACATAACTGAAATCAGTCGCTTCCTATAACCATCAATAAGCTTCTGACACCTCTCACCCGGAATTTTGGACCACTCTTCCTTTGCAAACAGCTCCAGGTCTCTCTTATTGGAAGGACACCTTTTCCCAACAGCAATTTTAAGATCTCTCCACAGGTGTTCAATGGGATTTAGATCTGGGCTCATTGCTGGCCACTTCAGAACTCTCCAGCGCTTCTTTGCCATCCATTTCTGAGTGCTTTTTGACGTATGTTTGGGGTCATTGTCCTGCTGGAAGACCCAGGATCTTGGACGCAAACCCAGCTTTCTGACACTGGGCCCTACAGTGCGACCCAAAATCCTTTGGTAATCCTCAGATTTCATGATGCCTTGCACACAGTCAAGGCACCCAGTGCCAGAGGCAGCAAAACAACCCCAAAACATCATTGAACCTCCACCATATTTTACCGTAGGTACTGTGTTTTGTTCTTTGTAGGCCTCATTCCGTTTTCGGTAAACAGTAGAATGATGTGCTTTACCGAAAAGCTCTATCTTGGTCTCATCTGTCCACAAGACGTTTTCCCAGAAGGCTTTTGGCTTACTCAAGTACATTTTGGCAAACTGTAGTCTTGCTTTTTTATGTCTCTGTGTCAGCAGTGGGGTCCTCCTGGGTCTCCTGCCATAGCGTTTCATTTCATTTAAATGTCGACGGATAGTTCGCGCTGACACTGATGCTCCCTGAGCCTGCAGGACAGCTTGAATGTCTTTGGAACATGTTTGGGGCTGCTTATCCACCATCCGGACTATTCTGCGTTGCAATCTTTCATCAATTTTCCTCATCCGTCCACGACCAGGGAGATTAGCTACAGTGCCATGGGTTGCAAACTTCTTGATAATGTTGCGCACTGTGGACAAAGGCAAATCTAGTTCTCTGGAGATGGACTTGTAACCTTGAGATTGTTGATATTTTGCCACAATTTTGGTTCTCAGGTCCTCAGACAGTTCTCGTCTCCTCTTTCTGTTGTCCATGCTTAGTGTGGCACAGACAGACACACAATGCAAAGGTTAAGTGAACGTCTCTCCTTTTTATCTGCTTTCAGGTGTGATTTCTATATTGCCCACACCTGTTACTTGCCCCAGGTGAGTTTACAGGAGCATCACATGCTTGTAACATTCTTATTTATCCCGCAGTTGTGAAAGGGTGCCAATACTTTTGTCCAGCCCATTTTTGGAGGTTTGTGTGACATTATGTCGAATTTGCTTTCTTTCCTCCCTTTTTTTGTTTTGTCCCAATACACACAAAGGGAATAAACATGTGTATAGCAAAACATGTGTTAATGCAATACGTTTCGTGAGAAATACATGATTTCCTGGAGAAATATCAAGGGTGCCAACAATTTCGGCCATGACTGTATGTATACTGAGATGATGCAATATTAGCCTTTAATTGCATCACTTCACTGCATAAAAGCTGCAGTATCTGTAGCTGATTGTAGTTCGACAGCGTCTTTACATTTCGTTTTATGCTTATATAGGCTACTCAGTAATGCCTCGAACTTGTGTGAATAAAGCAGATAATTTCTGCTATATCTGCGGTGAAATAACTTTTATCTCACAAAAAAGGAGGATAACAGGAATGATTAAGAAAGCCTACAACTTGTATTTTGGCTGCAAGATAGGAGACCAGGACAAGAGCTGGGCACCACATATATGCTCCAATTCTTGTGGGACGGCACTGGAGCAATGGTTGAATGGAAAAAAGGCATCTATGCCTTTCGCTGTGCCAATGATTTGGAGAGAGCCAACAGATCATGTTAGTAATTGTTACTTTTGTATGGTGCCTCCAATTGTAAAAGGGCTAAATAAGAAGAAAAAGTTATCTGTGCACTATCCAAATATTCCATTGGCAATACGTCCAGTTCCTCATGGAGAGGGGCTACCAATTCCTAAAGCACCAGAATCCTTCGTGGTTGAGTCAAGTGACGAAGAACCTGAAGCGTGTAGTCACGTGCAGTTGTAAGAGATAGCCCTTTCCTCGAATACAAGAGAAAAGCCAAGAGAAGCAAAACCGACACAAACTGAAGACAAAACTAGTGAGAATCCTAAGTATTAAAATGATTCAACTTAGCTTATGGCTATAATTTTTCTTGGTAATCCTATGCAATATATTATGCCATTTAGGCTTTGTTATGTAGTCAATATCACTTGCTTTATATTTGTGGAAAGACATCTATCTATATAATTATTGTGCATTATGTAGTCATTACGCCTATAGTAGAAAACTTTCCGTTTACAGAAAAACTAGAGCCAATTGACAAATTTCATTGTTATATTTGAACTCAGAATGTGAAATTCATTAAGAAATGGATCCTTTTGTTTCCAAAACTGGCAAAAAATAAAAATTTGTTGAACAGTGTAATCAGCCATGCACACGGTACATCCCTCATAGG